AACTGATCTGTTATTTGTGGTTTTCTTTGAGTATTAGTATTAAATTGGCTTGAAAGCATTTCAACTATTGTATATGTGAATCTACCATGTCCTCATATGTATGTATATGTATATTTGAGAGTGTGAGAAAGGGGGTCCCTCCTTTTGACCACAGCTGATTGAGGTGGAAAAGAAATGACAATAGCCACTTAAACATGTGTAGGATACATCCCTGTCTAAAGGTGGTGTTATGGCCATGGGTACATAACTTCCCGAGATAAGTGGTCGAGGGTGTAGCCCGAGACCACTTCTCTTCGAGACCACTTCTCTTCGAGACCACTTATCTCGAGACCGGACCACTTATCTCAAGACCGGACCACTTATCTCGAGACCGGACCACTTATCTCAAGACCGGACCACTTATCTCAAGACCAGACCACTTATCTTGGGACCACTTCTTTCGAGACCACTTATCTTGAAGGAGTTATGTACCCATAACCCCCTCCAGACAGGACTTATGCTATGGTAAAGTATTGCAGTATTGTTCTTGTGTAAACTGTGAAAACCCATACTGTCTGCTGGGTGGCTACATAGATATTAGAGCTAAATATCTATAGATATTATATATATATATATCTATATATATATATATTATATATGTGCTAATAGACCCTCCCTCTCTCTCTTTGACTCTTCCCTCTTCCTAGCCATTATGCCAGTCCTGGTCCCTAACAGGCCGACTCAGCAACCCCTCTACCATGAACCACAATCAACTGGCCTCCCTCAGAACATTGACTGTCCTCTTTCATCTGACCCTCTACCAGCAGGTGCTTATTTAGAACCCTCCCTCTCTCTTTTAACATTTATGGCCTCTCTCCTTTCTTTCTTTCACTTTCCTCCTACTCTCTCTCTCCCTTCCTCTCTTTTAATCTTTATCTAATGCTCTTCCCTTTTTCCTTCTCATTTTCCCTCTCTCTCTCTCTCTTCCAGAGGAGACTCCTCCACCTGCTTACAGTGAAGTTCCCCCAGTTGATAGTCCAGCTGATCCTCAGAGTGTCTACTCTGGTGGTAAGTGTATAAAACTACTAATTATTTACAAGTGTAGTATCACTAATCAAGCAATGTACACGTATATATTAGTATATGTAAATGTGTAATTGAATATACTACTGCATGTCTACATGTATGTTTTCCTTGCCTGTGTTTCTAATTTGTGTAGAGTAGCTTCCTATCCAGTCTTGTTTGTATTCTGTTCCTTTACTCTCTTCTCTTCCTTCTTTCTCTATAGTTGGCTCTCCTATCATGTCTCCATTATCAGCTGCTTCCAACACTTCAGTTAATCCAATTGGATCACCGGCTCAGTCAGGTGAGGCTGGCACAGAGTAGTGGGAGGAGACAAAGAATTCTTTCATTATGAACCTGCATATTTCGTATACCTTTATCATTATTAAATAATTACCTGTAATCCCTCCCACCTATACTGGTATGTACAAGGTCTTGCATGAAGATATTCACCTCTTGGCTTCTCGTTTAAATTATCATGTCTCCTACATCTACCCCTCCATTGCATGCCTACTTAACCTCTCCTTCTCTCCCTTTCCCT